TTTTGTGCAATAATTATTGAGGCTATTGCAATGGTTTACGAAGTTATGGCAACGGTAATAAGAGTTATTGCAACGACTTTTTGTTGCTTTGTAGTGGATGTTTTGTCTGTTGCAAGATTTGGTGGTATATTATATTAATCAATTACCTATATAATAAAATATAATACGCTAAAATTTATATAAATTGCGAAAGGAAACTACTCATAAACAAAATCATAATCCAAACCATCCAACTAATATTATCCATAGATTGAAGCAAATATATAATATTGTTTGACAATCCAAGAGTTACCAAACATAAAATTGCAAAAATTCTAAAATAAAAGATCCATATTACATCTAAAACTCTAGCAACGATCAACCAATACTCATAAGGTATTCGCTGCTTTCGTCTACCCTTTGTTCGTTTGTTTCACCTACAAAACTATCAAAAACAACTTAGCTGATTTAGTTATAAGGAATTAATTATAAATAAAAGACAAAAAATAAAACGAAGCTGATTATATGTACTCAATCAAGCATTATTTCTTCTGGGCACTAAAGAGATTCACTATGAAATAATGCTTAAGTTTTCTTCTTTAGCTGTTAGTTGGAAAGGGCCAGAGGTATAAAACCACCAAGGCATATGTCATTCACCTGTAATAGTTTAATTTTTTTCACCAGACTAAGTAAAAACAAGAAGCTTCATTTCTCAATATAGTTTTTTGTTCGCTCGGAAACTTAATAATCTAAATGTTGAATTACTAACAATCCAAAACTAAAAATTTGACAGAGAACAGAGTTGAGTGCCCAATCAGAGACGAGAAAAAGAACAAGCATAAAACTAGAAACTATAGTTGTGACATTAAGAAAAAATGTCCTCTGCATGAATAACTACCAAAATTGGTAAAACCCAAAACTATAAAATAGCATTTTTACCTGTTGTGAACAACCTGAAAGAGATTCTTACTGTCACTTACTTAAACTTATTAATCTAGATAAAGCATAAGTTGGTAATTTAGGAGTAAATTTAACATAGTATATACTTGAACTAGTATATGTTTTCTTTCAATAAGATTGACTTCAAACATACTCATGTAAAGTTAGACCTGGGCAATAAACTTAGGAGTTAAACCACAAATCATTATAAGAAGATAAAGTTTTAGAAATGGGTCAATAAATTGAGGGGAGTTTAAAATTTCTAGAAATACCTCAGCCCGGCTTGTGTTTCTGTCAATATAGTTGCTGCAACAAGTAATGGGCATTGCAGGATTAATCACTCTGCACAAATACAAAAGAGATAAATGAAAGTGAGACTATTAATTAGAATGAGTTCACAAAAGAGGACACAAGTGTACAAGAATTTGTCTGAATATTCTAACACCTAAACCAAAAAAAAAACGTATAGCTCATTGTTCTGCTTGTTCTTCTTGTGTAAAACATGTTGGAAAACTTCTTTATTTGGACCATCCTTATTCATGTTTATGTTTTATTTCACTTCCAAGATAGTAAAAACTATTATGATGAAGAAATAAGAAGTTTTAGTTTTTAACTTCAACTGTGTCAATAAAGTTAGCCTACAGACCATAATCGCAAGACTATAATTAGTAACAAATGATAAGTTGTTACCAGCATACAAATAAAGCTAAAACGAACAAGTTGTCACTAACATACAAATAACAGCTAACCTAGGACAAAAGCTTAAATAGATGACACAACAAAATCAAGAGCCAGCTTACTATTTCATCCAATATGATACACTAAACATATTTGAGGCTTGGTTTAGTTCATGGTCCAAGTGCATGAGCTGCATCTCCAATGAACTTAACACTTGTTTCAAATATTTCTTGGATAACCACACTTGAAGAACAGAAGATATATTGCATTATCGAAATCAAAACAAAGTGAATTTTGGTAATTGTGTACAATCATTACCTTATTTCTCATAAAACATCTGCGATGGTTACGCCAAATATAGTAAAGATTTCAAGAATTCGCTATTCATTTAGATAAACAAGAGAAGCAATGAATCTTTTTAGTTCAATTCAAGAAAATAGTATGAATTTTTAAGTGCTGCAACTGAGATAATTTTTCGAATGAAAACTGTTTTGATAGGCAAAGAAAGTTGGAAATGAATATCCTAAGTGAAGCACCTAATAGAGGATTACTTTATTATGTCAGAAAAAATACATCTACCATCAATTCATCTTTACTTTCTCATTAACTATTGGTCTACCCCTAATGAATATCCCCCTCCCCTTCCTAAACACACCTCTGAGGAAATATTGGCACAAAACTTCTGTAATTGTGTCTGCAAGCCATGAACCAAGCCAGTTCATTTACTGCAAATTGTTGTCAGATATGGTTTTTTGCCCCACCTTCTCACTTTTTATCCCTTGTCATATTGAAGTTTTTATGTATAACTAGTTACGAAAATTTCGCATATGCATGAAGTGGCATAATAGACGCTAGGCACTATCCAATATCTAAGTTTTAGGCTTTCCTTCTACACCAAGAGCAGTCACAAGGTTTTAAATGTCTCTAAGAATATGCTTATTTCTTCCATCATCTTGTATATTTTTCTGTTTTCCTCTCACTACTCCTACAAATGTTGAATTCTCATCAGACAAAGGATATCATACTTGATATACTCGGGATTTCAAGTTTTCAATTCTTAAATCAATTACGCCTCAGTCCAAATCATTTGAGATTGGCAAATGAAGCAGATACTCATCAGAAGAAAGTCCATAATCTTTTTTGTTTAACTAACCACTCACCATACAAAAAAATTAACTTTTGATCAATCAATAATTAATTGTTCAATCCTAATAACTGCTTGAAGATAGTTACATGATTTCTCTGTATATATTCCATGGAATCATGCCATACTAAATAATTCAAGAAATTCACTGTCAATACAAAAAAAGTATATATTTCCTTGATATCGAAATACAAGAAACATCAACAGTAGCAATTTACATTGACATAAACCTAAAAGAGATTTAAATGAAGCTCACGTCAAAAGAAGAAGACTATAACAATACTCTATCATGTCATTTTATTCCAATATTAAATAATTCAAAAGACCCACTATCTGCACATACAAAAATGAAACTCAATCAGAACAAAAAATTACAACAATCTATCATGCCCATTTCGTTCTGATAAAGAATATTTCAAGGAACCCACTAAAGCACGCAGGGAAAAAAATAATTTTTTTGCTTGAAAAGAAAAAAGCCAGATGAGATTCAGTTGAAGCACAGTCAAAAAAATAGGAAAGAATGCAGACTACGATGAAAAGCAGAGAAGGTAAACCAGGAATTTCATTCTAACCTCTCTTTCTCTTGATCTACCGATTTCCAGCGAGGAAGGCTCTGCGGCAATGATTTCTCGCGATGAATAAGTGGCTTGTGGAAGAAGTACTCTATGTCCAACAAAGACGGCGCATTACCTTATATGGACTGTAGAACTGAAACGCTAAATTAGAATGTTTTATCTTGAGTCTAGACGAAGATTATCGACCTCTATAGATTTCAAGTGCTCGATAAGCCAGGTCAGATTGTTTGTAGATTGCTAGAGCTATTCTCAAAATGGTATATGCCTTCTTCAGATCTGAGAGTGTTAAAAATATTTTGGGTCTAGAGATTTAAAAGTGAACCTAAAACTTGTGGGCGGGTTTAGGAATACTAAGAAAAATAGGGAGAAAATTGGTAACCGATGCAATATGTATATTTTCCTAAAAAGTTGTTCCCACATGGTCATTTATTGCCACGTTTTAAGCAAACGTCGCAATAAGACCAACTACAGCAACGGTTCTTACACTAATGGGACGGTTTAAGTGCAAAAGTGTGGCAATAGCATCAAGACGAAAAACTGTTGCCGTAGGTCCAATTTATGGTTTGCAAAGAAAGTGATGTTCAAAGAAAAGAAAGGAATCAGTTATATTATAAATGTTGCTTCTGCAAGAAGCATTGAACAACGTATGCAAGTTTTGTGAACAATTTGGCGAGATATATAGGTAAAATGAAGATATTACGGAGTCTTGTTAATCCTGCAAAATTTACGAACAATTGAAACACATAAATTTTGTCAATTTGGTTAAACGTGTGATCAATTTATACAACCTATGCCCGCCCGCCCATTGTAACTTGTGAAGAAGACAAGTTTATGCCTCACCTATCAAATATAGTCTTAGTTTTAGCCTTGATATATATAGGCCACCTTTTGTTCAATATTCATCTTGATTGCATCACAGCAATAAGGACAAACATCCACCTCCATATAACAAGTTCCTTCTTAATATGAAATGAACAGCTCAAGGTCAATGCCTAAACCCCCACCAACTTTTTTTAAGGCAAATTTTGTCCATCCATCAAAACTTTGTGAATAATTTGTATCAAAGTTGTATCCATGCTACATAACTTGTGAACAAGATAAGTTTTGGTGATGTTACATTCAATTATATTTGTCTGTGTCCATAGCCCATTTAATAATACTCCAAGAATATCTTTTTTGTGGTGTTACGTTCTATTAAATTTTCTTCTCTGCGGAAGTTGAACTATTTGGATTATCAGTTTCAAAGAAATTGCATTATACTCGGATTATATATTTTTAAGTAAATAGTTGGTAATGTGTTAGATTATAATAGCGTGAACGCAAATAAGTTTTTAGTACCTTAGTTCTTGAATTGAACTGATAACTAAATGACAGAGAAAACAATGAAAAGACCACCCTAAAGTTGATTTGTTTCTTTTAAGTTTAAGAATTTAAGTAGTGGAAAAAGCAGTGTAAGATGCCGGTTTATAAGAAGTTTAATTTGTTTTAATGAGCATTATTCCATAAACTCAATAAGCTAATCCAATATATCTTGAAATATCATATTAGAAAATTTTGAGTGAAAAAGTTATAACCTACACATGAGAAAAGAGATGCTCTCAACCACCCTTCTATCAAATGATCAGACATGAACAACAATTTTAACAGGCATGATGCAGGGGTAAAGGAGGTAATTAAGTAGAGAATGAAGAAAACTATTAAATAAAATTGTATATATATTTCCATAAAAAGAAAATTATGAATAACAATTACTACATGTGATACAAAACAGAAAGATTAATAAAACATAAGACACATACTATTCAGTAATGTATATAAAGCTTATTCAAGAATTAACAAGAGCAAATTAAACACAAATAGACACTCTTTTTATCTTCTCTGGAAGTTGAATGCCTTAATACCCAAAGCAAATGTGAAGGCGAAAACAACAGCAAACGCAACGATCACAGCTGCAACAACTCCAAGAAAATCATGCTTAAATCCAAAGTTACTTCTCAGGAATTGTTCCACAGTTTGATTCTGATCAGTAAGTGGATCTTGAAGGTCTCCGAATTGAGATGCAACCAAACCATACAAGGTCCATGCAATAGGGCAACCCCAGTAGTACCATCTCCACCATATTGGAATACGCTGTTTTTAGCCAAAAAGACAAAAAGACATTAGGCTGGATTGGAAAATCAGTTTTTTGTATTTAAGTTGCGCGATGTGGCTATTATGTAAGGCGAATTGTTGACGTGGCTAGTATTTGCATCACAATTAATTTTATGAATGTGATAAATCATCCATGAAACTACTCTCACTTTGTTTGTCTCTACGACAACCACAACAACAAACCCAATGTAATCCCACTAGTGGGGTCTGGGAGGGTAGAGTGTACGCACACTTTATCCCCGCCAGGAGATAGAGAGGCTGTTTCTGGAAGACAGTTTGTGTTTATGTACTACTAGAAGAAAAGTTGAAATAATAAGATTTATGAACTTACAGGTCGTGGAACGATGAAACCTGAGAAGAGATTCCATACTGTATAGAAGAATCCAGCGACGATTGAAGCAACATTTTGATTCGGGGTCACAGCCACGGTCATCATACCAAAGAAGGTGAAGTACAAGAAGGTGAAGAACATGAAGAAGAAGTACCAAAAGAATTTTGCAACAGTCCATTCAAATCCAATCATAGAATAGACAATGAGACCATAGACAGTAGCTTGTACAAATATATAAGGTATTTCAATGAGAACCTGCAAGAAAATTAAGAAGTATTTATAAATAATGTGTAACTATTTAAGCCTTAAAACTTGTAAGGTTATTATAAATATTCAACTGTCTACTCACTTGTGCAAAGGCATAAGGTATAGCAGAGTACATTCCAGCAGCTTTTTCTCTGTAAAATACAGTACGCTCAACGGATACAACGGGCTGAACTGACGATGAATTTTGTACGCCAAGGAAGAGAACAGCAGCATACATAGATCCCATAGCATTAATCAGATCTTGGTTCCTACTCCTGTAATGACCAAAAAAAAAAGAGGAATTAGCATTAAGAATTATAAGTTGCCAGTTTGTCTTCTTATTCCTTTATTTTTTGTGTGTTATTGTACTTACACTTTGGTACCAATATCCCAGAACATTGTCCCGAAAATGAGTGCTATAAAGGTTGTGAAGATAAATCTGACTGCAGTATAAGCCGGATTACGCCAATATGACCAGTGTTGCTTCCATAGACAAGCCATACATTGGGTCCAAAATGGCTGTGAGAATTCAGAATCAAAATGCAGGTCACTTGTACCAGGTCGTGGCACGCTTAGTTCATCAATCAAGGCTTTGTTCCTCCTGTAGAGGTCTGACTTCTTGTACAGTTCAGTAAAATCAACCCCTAATGCCATTTCTTGAGATGAGGCTGTGACTTCTAACATCCAAGTTGCTGGATTGTAACCTTCCACTATTTTGCTTACTCCAGGTATCGACTGAAATCGTAACAAAATCTAAGCTTAGTTCTTGATCATAGAAACTCAGTACAAGGAACTTATTTTGTATAAAGAAACTTACCTCAAAATATTTTATCAAATGGCATGATTGGCGGCCTAATGGACCAACGTATATCTCTTGTCCTCCTCGTTTCATTAGAAACAACTGTAAAGATGTATTTTTCATATTAGTATCTGATATCTAAAGGGAAAAGCATTAGAAAAACCAGAAATAGATGCAAAAGGTGTTCAATTCACCTCGTCGAAAGCCTCAAAAATGTCAATGCTAGGCTGATGAATAGTACAAACAACGGTTCTTCCTGTATCGACAGTGTTCCTAACAGCTCTCATCACAATGGCAGCAGCTCTTGCATCTAACCCTGAAGTTGGCTCATCCATAAAAATGATAGAGGGGTTTGCCACTAGTTCAACTGCAATCGTTAACCTTTTACGTTGCTCAGTTGACAGACCGTTAACTCCTGGCAACCCGACTAAAGCTGATCTTAATGGTGTAAGCTCCACAAGATCCATAACTTCCTCAACAAACATCTGCAATGAGACAATCAATAGGAAATTCTGTCAACTGGCAGTTTATAGGATAAATTCTCATTATGGAGTAATGTGTAAGGGGAACTTACCATCCTTTTTTGTTCATCGACGTCTTGAGGTAAACGCAGCCAAGCTGAGTAAACCAATGACTCAAAAACTGTGACATACGGTGAATGGATGTCATTCTGTTCACAGTATCCGGATATACGTGCAAATGTTTCTTGCTTCTTGGGATATCCAGAAATCTTGATGCTCCCGTCAATGTAACCACCGGTTTTCCTTCCAGCCAAGACATCCATCAGTGTTGTCTTTCCAGCACCACTAACACCCATCAAAGCTGTGAGAACACCCGGCCTGAAAGCTCCACTCACACTCTTCAAAAGTACCAATCTATTATCACTGGTACCTGACTCTCTCATTTCCTGCAAGTCGTCAAAAAATTGAGTCACATTTTGATTTAAGGACAGTTGAAGCACCAGTCTTTAATGACTAACAATTTTTCGTTACTTACCGGAGGCATATCAACGGAGTATACCACTTCATCAAAGGTGATGGAATGGGGATCAAATGGAAGAACCATTCCCTTCTTCTTATTCTCACTGACAGAATCTCCTTCTTGTGTGCTAGTTATCTGGGGTGATGATTCACTTTCGTTATTCTCACTCTCGTCTGAAATCGTAGCTTGTGGCTTATCAAATGCTGCAGATACTCACTCCATGTTAGTACATGTCATCTTTTTATTTAAGGGTATATCGATGAAGAAAATCAAGGACACTCACGGTTAAGATAAGCGAGAGCAACACTGTAGGCGATGTTAAACATAACTGTGAATCCAGCAAGTGCCCCTACACCTATCCAGTACCAATATGCATCGGGGAAGAACCCTCGAGCTCTTACCACTGCAGCTCCAAGCGGCTCAGTTCCACCGGCTACAATCTGTTTTACAAGAGAGTGGATTCAGCATTTATACTTGAAGGATTTTAATTACTTGCAAGGAGTATAGGTATTGAAAGTTACATGTTTCCACTTTTGCCCATCAAATTCATTCACAAGAATTGCATTCACAGAATACATCAACGGTGACGTCCAGTATCCCCAAATCCACCAATCCTTCACATCGTCTACACCATTTTAATTTGGAGAAAAGAGAAAGTAAACATTAATTAGTCATTGTACAAGACAAGAGCTATATATTGCAAATCGTCTAAATCACAAACTTACTTCGTGCAAGAATAAAACCACCCAATGCAAATTGTAAAAGAAGAGCAAATGCTCCAAATGTGCTAGCAACTCCCATGGTCCTTCCTACTGCCGCGATAAATCTGAACAACGCTGATGCCATCTGGTTTACTAGTAAGAGTAGCAAAAATTGTTTGAAAAACCTGCATATAAGATAGTCTATCAATAATCAGCATATAAACCAATGAATAGATATATATATATATACCATAGTCTTTCTTTGATTACCTTCCAACATTGGGATCAAATCCGATGACATAATACGTGAGGAACACCCACATCCCAACTTCAGCAAAAGTTACAGGGATTTTGAGGATCCATGAGGGAATTGCGTAAGCCCACGAAGGATAGAAGAGAAAGTCCCTTTGCTTGTAGAAGACCGGAAGCTTGTAAAGTGTCATAGGGAGCTCGGACAAACCATTAAACATAATCATAATAACCACAAAAAAGAGAGCACCAGAATATATATTTCCATCTTCTGCAGAATCCCGAGGCATCTTAGTTCGGAAAAATATGGTCATTGTCATAAGTGCAATTACCAGGAGCTGATCATAAAACAAAGAGATCGAGGATTAATAAATTGCACAAAGAGAGGATATGAACAAATCAATAGTATAGGCAGACCAAGCTAATTAAGTATTAGTCACCTGAAAGAACTTGAAGAGGTAAACAAATGAGTTTCTTTGCATTAGCAGTAGTTCTCTTTCGGTGCAAACCTTCAAAAGTTGTCTCTTCCCTATACCATACTTTTGAGTAGTCAAAGCAGCAGGGTGGCTTTTACTCTTGTCAAATGTGGTTGCCAGCTCATCGCTTACTTTTCTTCCAACATGGAAAGACTGATAAGCTTCAGCAAATTCTTTTGATGTGATGAACCGATAAGGCTCATCCCTCTTTACCCAATATTGCTGTTGATCCTTCTTAGATGTCACCTGCCAAAAATTCAATTGTTAGAACCAAATATGCATCAATGCTGAAACTGATAATATTATGACATACTTCTTGCAAGAAGTCAGCCGCGCCTTTTCTCTCTGGGCATTTAAATCCCATGGATTCAAAGAAGTTGAGCACATTCTCTCGCGGACCCTGATAAACAATATACCCATCGGATAACAGTATAATATCGTCAAACAGGTTGTAGGTCTCGGGGGCAGGTTGCAAGAGAGAAATCAGAGCTGTTCCCTTCATTATTCTAACTGATTGCTTTAAGGAATTCACAATGGAGTAAGTAGTGGAGCTGTCCAATCCAGTTGATATTTCATCCATGAAAAGTGCTTTAGATGGTCCAACAATCATTTCACCAGTCGTCACACGCTTCTTCTGTCCTCCTGAAATACCCCTTATCATTTGATCTCCCACCATAGTATCTGCACATATATCCAGTCCCAGTATCTGCAAAATGGAATTTACAAACAAATGAATAACTTATTTATCAAAATTCTCCACGCTTTCAATAGCTCTAATGTAAGAAAAGTCATTGGAAAATGAATGTTACCTTAAGAATGTAATCTGTAACCACTTTGGCTTCTTGTCCTTCTGTTGATGCAGCCTACATTTCCATTCAACAATATGAATATTCATTATTCACTCTGTTTCTTAAGAAAAAGGAAAATTGTGCTGCCTGAAATATCTCAAAGAATTTATTTTCTTATTATAATTTAACATATTACCAGTTAATTAAGAGAAGATTGAGTTTCTTTCTTACCTTCATGAACATATCAATATCAGCATCTGGTTTAATATTAGCTGCTTTCTCTCTTCTTGATAGTTCAGCCAACATCTCTGAAAAATAATTCAAGAACAATAAGTCAAAATCATGATTCTTTTTTTCTTCACGAAAGAAATCAACTTATATACACTAACAGCGCAAAGAATTTTTACACTCTTAGTTTAAATTTAACATGCTATAGATTTCTGCCTATTTTATTTTTCAGTTCCATTTATTATGGATAATTGTAGTTACTTTTAGGTGAGCTGATAGTGTAAAATTTATCTTGCACCGTTAGTGTATAGAAGTTTAAACTGATACTGAAATCCTAAGTTAATAAGAATTAAATAGAACTAACCATAACGAGAGCCAACGCCTTGACATCTTGCAGAGAACTCCAACGTTTCTCTAACAGTCATTTCTCCAATATGCAAATCATGCTGGCTAATATAAGCGGCAGTTCTTTGTGGCACAAACTCATGTAATTCATGTCCATTATATGTCACCTTTCCTGTAACCTGTTTATTGTGGATAAAAATTAGGTGTTATTTTATTTTTTAGAAACCATAAAATTGTTGGAATATGTAATGAAGTTACCTTTAGAGCAGAGTCAAGTTTTCCAGCCAAAGCAAGTAACAAAGTAGTTTTTCCAGAACCAGGAGGTCCCAAAAGAAGAGTCATTCTACAGGGCTTAACTATGCCACTAACATCCTTTAAAATTGTTACTTGCCTTTTTCTTGATGGAAGTATGTGAATTGAATCCAATAGGCCCTTTAAAACCAACAACACAAGAGAATAAGCTTAGTTTGAGAACACTGTAATTTTTTCAACTCATACTTATTATTATTATTATTATGATATCTTTTTCATACCTCAACAAATACTAAACCATTAGTTCTTCTATAGGTGATACATACATATAGATATGCAAATACCTTTTTATAGATTATTACCTCAACGAAGTTAGAAATGAAGTTGGTAAATGTAGGCAAAGCTCTGCTTCCTACATATGCATCTGCGTCGATATTTAGATGCTCAAATCTCACTTCTATTGACGGAAAATCAATCCCAACCCTGTTTTTCCAGAAAAACAAAAAAAAAATCACAACTTAGCACCAAATTAGATAATCAACGAACTCCAACTCAATTATAGAACCAATTTTTTTTACTTAAATGACAGTGTTAACAACTTTTTCACCATACTAGTGTATTATAACATGACATGCTATAATAAATAACTAGCAATATTTTTCAAGTTACTGATACCACAAAAGCTAAGTTTTTCTCGAACCCGAGTTTTATGTTATGTTATAATATATGTCCTATATAACACCACTTTACTATAACGGCCAAAAGTTATCGGAACAAATGAGCCTGTTATGGAGAGGTTTGATTGTATTTATAGCTGTTTTTAGCTGACTTGATAGTATTGAAATCCTTTTGCACGGTTAGCGTATAGAAGTTAAACTCAAAGTGCTGAAAATTTAAAAGGTAATAATTTCACTTGCCTGTCAATTCTGTTCTTGAGTTTCAACAAGAACTTCTCGTTATCTTCATCAGCAACTTTAACAAGCCTTTCAAGCAAATTCTTTCTTTCTAAAACACCAAGATCATCTACATCAACTTCAGCAGCAGCACCTTGTGATCCAAATAATATACCTTTTCTTAATCTATCATAAGTTGGTAACTTTTCGAGTGCGGCCCATTTAAGTGCTTCTTCATCATCTTCATCCCTTGCCGAACGCGAAAAAACCTCAGCGCCATTATTTCTCCATATTGAATTGCTATTTTCTCTTATACTTCCTCTCATACTTCCCCTTATACTTGCTCTTAAACTTCGGCCTCGCAAATTACTTAAATCTGCTGGCTCCATCTTGAGCACTAATTAGAAGTTCGACTTTCAAAATATTTTGTAATTAGATCAAATGAACTGAAAATGTGAAATTAGTGTAATCTTCTTTATTAGAAGAAGTACAAAAGAATAGAAGGAGATGTCTAAGGCAAAGGTATTATATAGCAGCAAAGAAAAGGAAGGGGCGGCTATAGCATTGTTTTATTTTTTAATTGGTCGTATACATGCATAGTACTTTGGTCTATGAATTTATTGACCTAACATTTTGACGAAATTTAATTTGAATTATTTGACGTACACAGTAGTTGTAGAGGAAACTTCTACAAACACTGTTCATGAGGAGTCATATGTGACCAAATGAGAAAAAGACTTGAAAGAAACTTCGAGGGTAATTAACGTGTGAATTATTAGCATAGGATCTTAATTATAATTTGGAGAGTAGCAGTCAAAGAAGCCAAAGAAAAAAACGCCGCCAGCCACCAGCGTCTAGAAACATGCCAAGTCAGCATAGCAGATTTATTATTATTTTATTTATATTATTAATTTTTGTTATTAATATTTATCTATAATTGATTTAACAGAATTTATATATGCTTTTATTTGATTTTAATAACATTGGCTTGGGATCTTAGTGGGAGGAAATGCGAATGTTGCAACAAGTTGATTGGGCAAAGAGAAAAAACTACTAATTTAGTTCTGAATTCTGATATAAGTAGGCTCATAATAGGGAATACCCTAACCTTGAGAATTCATCTTACAAGCACCGTTGTGAGCCTACTCATATCAGGTAGCTCATCTCACAAAGATTTAAGTAACGTTTTAAAAGAAGTTTAAAGTTAAATAATCATTATCTGATGATCTCAAATTTTTGTCCCTAAGTAGAATGTCAAAATAATTTCATAGTTCGGACGATAGTTTACCTGTGATTTTAATTGTTTCTTGTTTAAATTCTTTCAGACTCTGCTTTTTTTACTTTGTGTCCGAACTAAGTAATTATTTTGACATTCTACTCAGAGCTTGTTGCAAAATTCTGGGCTTTGTAATTCTCGCAATACTAGTTTTTATTTTCCTCTTTCTTTCTTTTTTTCTTTTTTTATGGCAAGTGGAGAATGATGATGAAATTAAGAATTGCCAAATGACTTTTTAGCTTGACTCTTCAAATATCTAGAAAGAAGCTAGCTGAGCTGAGATTTTTCTTTTTACTTAGAAGTTGCTTAATATAATAAACGACGAATATAGGGTCCATGAGGTTAATATATCATATCATAATACTAATCAAAGTGCAATCAATTGATTAGTTGTCTTAATTACCAATTCTACTGTTTAAGAATTGTACAAACACTAAAAGTCATTAAATTTGCAATATTTTTTATCCATTTCAAATTTGTAATATTAAGAAAAGGAAAAATTACATTTTTTAATTATAATATATTTTCTGACGGGAAATTATGTTTTAGACAATTAATATTCAAATTATCTAGTAACTTTCTTCTTTGACCAAAACCTTCTGGTCCTTTTACGTAAATAAGCAAAGTAAGAATAACGAACTGCGAGGAAAAGTAGTAAAAACACAGAAAAGAGATGCAGCCTTGTAAGGTTGACTTGGTTGTTGTTGTTGAAGAACTAGAGATTTTTGAAATTTCATTTATCACGCTGAATCTTCTATCACAACCAAAAAAATATAAGGAAAAATGGTCATATTTGTTCATATGCTACTATTTGAAATTGAGAATTTTTGTGTGAATCGAATCTATCCCGGCCAAAAAAAAAAAAGACTCGTTTTTGTTTTTGTCTTTGATCTCTGACTGGGGCTCTAACGTGAAGGATAACTCTCATTAATTTTAGATCATAGTCAAAAAAGTAATAAATTTTGACTTTTTTTCTTCAAAATATTTTGATACGTGGAGTCCATCCATTTCACATTTGACTATACGTGAAATAGATTTACATAGTTACTGGTGTATGGGTTAAAATCTGACCACAAGATGGTTGTCCTTAAAAGGAACAATAAGGGATCGACCAAGCTGTAGTCTTACCCACGAGGCATAACAGCGGTGAGCATCTCGGCCACTGTCGAGATCGAGCCGTCAGAAGGCTTGCACGACAGCACATATGTCGTACCACTCGGGCAAGTAAGGAAGAGTATAGTCATGAGAGGATCTGTTGGGTAGAAACCGTTGGATAAAGGGGAAGGTTGATAATATATATATGAGGGGAGAAGGCAAGAAAAAGGGGGATCACATAAAAGAAAAGAGAGGAGCAATGTATAAAAGCGAGAACAAGAGGAGATCCCCAACAACAAATCAACAACCCAGATTTTGGCTACAACTTTTTGTAATCATCATTGTTGAATCAACAATGATAGATCTCTTAGTTATCAACAACTTTCCCTCTCTTTTCCTTCTTTGCTCTCACAAATACGGTACAAACATATCAAAGATGTAAGCTTATTATTTACATTTTATGTCTGTCAATCATCTTAAGGAATCTTATATAAACTTGGCCTCCTTCAATTGTGATATTCAATATGTTTGGATTTATAGTTAATTATGTTTGGTAAAACCAACCCACACGAAGCGTATATGCGATTAACGACGAAGCTGAACACAGCTGCCAAATCTGAAGCCGTTATTCAAGTACAAGGCAAAGCGAGCAACCCTACAACGTTGTTCCTCCTTTCACCGAATTGCCAAGCCAAGGTAACATGCGATTTCGTTTGGTTTTAACTTACCACTCTCTCTCTCTCTCTCTCTCTTGATGGTTCAGAACAGGAAATGCATAGTATTCTCCAATGAAAGCAAAACCAAGCAAACTGGGACTCGCCCAAGAAACGTACAATATTCTCCAGTAAAAGCAAAACCAAGCACACTGGGACTCACCCAGGAAACGCCAATATTCTCTAGTAAAAGCAAAACCGAGCACACCGGGACTCACCCCGACGCACGCATAAACAGTATGGTGACGTGTGATGTTCTCCAAAAAAAAAATAATAATGCAACGGGTTACGATTTCGACCTTGCTCGAAATAACACCCCTACAGCCATCGGCCTTCGCCAAAACGAGACATTCAACCTCGCTTTACAATAGGTTACAATTTCGACCTTGCTCGAAATAACTCCCTTGCGGCCATCGGCCTTCGCCAAGAGAGAAATTCGACTTTGCTGGAATTACAACGGATTACTATTTCGACCTTGCTCAAAATAACGCCCCTACGGCCATCGGCCTTCGCCAAGAGAGAAATTCGACTTCGCTCGAATTACAACGGGTTACTATTTCGATCTTTCTCGAAATAACACCTCTACGGCCATCGGGCTTCACCAAGAAAGAAATTCGACTTCACTCGAATTACAATGGGTTACTATTTCGACCTTACTCGAAATAACACCCCTACGTCCATCGGCCTTCGCCAAGAAAGAAATTCGACTTTGCTCGAACTATAACGGGTTACAATTCCGACCTTGCTCGAGATAACACCTTTACAGCCACAGGCCACCGTCAAATAAAAGAAAAGTTCGAACTCGTTCAAATATGGATCAGAAATTGACTTCGCCCAAGACGGCGACTCCAAGTTAGAACTCGTTCAAATAAAAGTCAGAAATTGACTTCGCCCAAGACGGCGGCTCCAAGTTCAAACTTGTTCAAATATAAGTCAAAAATTGACTTCACCCGATACAGCGACTCCAATTCGAACTCATCCAAATATAAGTCAGAAATTGACTCCGCCCAAGACGGCGACTCCAAGTTCGAACTCGTTCAAATATAAGTCAGAGCTTGACTTTGCCCAAGATGGCGAGTCTCAATTTGACCTTGTTTGAATCAAGATCGATTCCACCCAAATTGGCAAACCAGAAGTCAATCTCGCCCAAACTGGCAAGTCTAAAATGACTTCATCCGGACTCATATGACGAGATCCTACCCGATCAGCGCAAGGTCGACTTCCCAATTAAAAAGATGAGGGACTCATCACAAAGAAATCTGAAGGTCTACGCCAAAAAGAGAAATATAACAAACGAGAGGGATAGATAAAGAAAATCAAAATATATACAAACAAAGGCGAAGCAACTGTTTCATTTAAATACACGTGCGCAACAGCCGCACCTTACAAAAGGCTGAAACAGGCCCCTAAAAAGACGAATATAAACAACAAAAGAAAAAAAACTAAGTACAAACGTTACATCAAAGTTTCACTCGGCGTCATCCCCGCCGCCGTTCTCCCCAACATCGCCATCATCAGAAAGGAGCCCATCCTCGACATCAACGCCCTCACTAGCCTCCAGCATCGTAGGGTCGTAACCACAGGCAGTACGAGCCTCGCGTGCCTTCGTCAGAGCATCTTCGAAGGTGGCCTCTGAAACACTCCTCGCCTCCCACAAACCCTTGTATATATCTCTATGGGCCTCGGCGTGGACCCATAACTCGTATAAGCAGCGGGGGATCGCGGCAAATATAGATCCGACCTAGCTCAACAGTTGTGCCTTCTCGGCCTCGAGTGCCACGACCCAATCTCCTAGGCTCGAAGCCTCCCGATCAATTTCACCATACGCTCCTTGAGTCGCGCCTCCCTCAGCGTGTCCGTTGCCCTCTCAGATTCCTGCTCAAATCTGAGGACGCGGATAGCGTCGCCGCTCTCGCCAAGGCCGACCTCCGAGCATCTTCGGTGCTTTCCATCTCGGCCACTTTCTTCTCCAGCTCGGCCAATTTCCCCATCTATTCTGCGCTCAAATCTTCAACTCTGGTAGCATTCTTCTCAAGTTCGGCTTGCAAAGACAACACCTTCGCCTGAAGGTCCGCGCACTCCGCGGCAACTCCCTTGCTCACGTCGAGCTCCTCATTCTTGGCGTAAAGCAGCTCCTCAAGCTCACTGCATCTGCGGATAGACCACATCAGGTCCTCATCTCTTTTCACCAACTCCTCCCTGGTATACTGGGTACGGCACTTGTTACGGTACCGACGATACTTCTCGGCCATCTTCAGAAAAATCACGGCCACATCTCGGCTCTATGAGCATTCTCGACCTCTAGCATGTAAGTCTAAAAGAAAGGAGGGAGGAAAGGAGTTAATGATATAAAAAGACGAACCAAGTTCACCAAGCAAAG